TTGCATATGTGTAGATCTCCAGTGCCTGTTTTTCATTCGAGTACGCAGCGTGGTTTTGCGGGACGTAAACTGGAAGATTCTTGAAGTGAGTGGCGAGCAAGATGCGGTAAGTGGGCGGCGGCAGTAACGACTCAGATCTTTGTTGTCCTTGCTCCTCCTTTATGCCATTTGGATAAATACTAAATATGTCATGTTCATGAGGTACAGGCTCCTGATTAGGCGATGAAACTTCTATGTGTTACGATCCTGGTCATTTCCCAAGTGCAAATTCACAATGAAAGACAATGCCACCCATTTCGAAAGAAATGAAAGCACTTGCAAAGAGATAAAGACCAGAGTAGAGGTAAAGAAGAAGAAGAAGAAGAAGAAGAAGAAGAAGAAGTACACCAGCAAGACCAATGACAATTCCCCCTTCTCTCTCCACCTTCCTCCTCCTCCTTCACTTCACCAATCTTATTCTTCTCTCAATAATAATAATAACAATGAATGGATGAACCAGAATCAATATCCGAAGTTCCCTCTTACTGCTGACTCAACTCAACAACAACAACAACAACAACAACAACAACCAGTCCACCATAGCTATGGCTTCCCTCCTTCAGCCTCCTCTCTCATGCATAGGCTATGGCGGACTACTCCAAGCAGCTAGGGTGCTGTGCTGATGTCCAAATGACAACCCAAGCAGCTATGGTGCTGCGCTGATGTCCAAAGGACAACGCAGAGCAGCTATGCCGCTGCTGACTTGGTCCGCTATGCCTGACTCTGCCTCAAGCTTCCCTGGTGCCGCACTACCCAAACTGGGGCCTTCCAGATGCAGTGCCCAACAAGGTGATGAGGATGGTGTCTTCCATAGCCAGGTAAGTGCCCCGCCACTCTCCTACCATGCCCCCTTCTTCCTCCTCCTCAAGCTGGACTGCTTGCCATAGCCAGGCTGAGCTCCAGCGGCCCTTCACCTTCAAGCAGTGCTGCACCAGCCCAGCGCTGCGCTCCAGCAGCATGTCGCGAATCCTTGCACATCGCAAATGAGGAAGAGCTCTTTGCTCTTCCTGGAGATAGAGCGGCCTACCGGCCTCCTGGGCGGTGACTTCCTAGGCCGAGCGGCCTCCCAGCAACCGGTACCTCCTCCCTTTCGGAGGGAAACATCATTGCAGGCTCTGCTATCCTCCCTACAGGCCCTAGACCCGGGCTACTTGGAACTTGGACTGGTACCGGCCTACCTCTATCGTACCGCTACTGGGCCTCTAAAAATGCCAACTTTTTGTCTTGTTCTGCTCGGCTTCCAGTATTCGACACCCCTACCACTACTTGAGTGGTACCAGCCTACCTGCTACTTGAGTGTTTTTCCCCTGCAACCCTCAAAGTCACGGCCACAGGTAAGTACCGGCCCTGCGGGGCCCTTCAACCAACAAGTACCCTTGCGGGTCATACACACACTCAACCAACAAGCACTCAGACAGGCATGTCCAGCAGCAAATCCCAGAAATCAGCAGTGTTCTCAGTCTGTGTTTTTGGCGGGTCATTACATTAACCCCCCTCTCAAGAGCGAAGTCCCTTCGAGCGAGTAACTCATTCAGAGTTGGCACAGAATGCGTCATAAGAGTAAATCAGAAGGAGAGAGTTAGTAAGTCCGTGAGGACTCATGGTCGCAACAAATTTAGCAGTCCGTCCCTCAGCAATCTGTCGTTCATAAGCGTTCACAACACGGGGAACACTCTTAGCAGCTCTTTTCTGTCGATCCAGAAGAACTCTGTCAACGGGTGATAGAGGAAGTGAACCTTGTACTGTCTGTTCCTCCCTCTTCCCTCGTGAGAAACGATTCTCTCTATCTCATGACCGCCGTCAATAGGGCGAGGTATCATAGGGTCTCGGAAGGGAAACGTCTCATCATGAATGTGTGGAAACAGTTTGGACGCATGAAAGACCGGATATGTGCGCAGATGAGGAGGCACGTCAATCACATATGAAGGACCAAAATCATCCCCAATCACCTTCAGAATTTGCCAAGGGCCGTAGTACAATGGAAGGAGTTTTCGTGATATGCCCTTTTCATCAGAAAACTCAGACATTTTAACCCAAACATAATCCCCTACTTTGAATTTTTCTTCTTTGCGCAACTTGTTAGCATGTTTGATCATGGCATGCTGGCGCTTGTTCATGGTTGCAATGACAGCTTTGAGCAAGCGTGCGTACTTTACATTGTAGCCAGGCATGCCAGACATCAGACCAGGTGACCGTTCAGGGAACAGATAGGAGAGGGGATTACGCATCGGCCATCCATATTGCAACTGATTTGGTGTCACGCCAGTTGCAGAGTGAATGGAGTTGTTATACAACCCCTTTACCTTGTGCAGCTCCTTGTCTCACGTGTTCTGATATAGAACAATCAATGCGCGAAGTAGTTGGATGACAGTCTGGTTGATCTCCTCGGCCAAACCATTGGCTTCGGGGTGTCGACCAAAAGTCTTGTTCAGTTTAATGTCATAGATTTGAGAGGTAAAATCCTTCCAATCTTTGCTGATGAAACTGGTGTCCTAATCACTCACAATAGTTTTCGGGACGCCAAACTGCAGAATGTACTGCTGATGGAATTCTTCGATGACAAGTTCAGTTGGGGCATGGGGAGGGAAAGGAATTAAGTTCAGAAATTTGGAGAAGCGGTTCACGATGACCATGACTTGTGAATTTCCTGCCTCACTCACCTTTCCCATGTCCGTGAAGTCGATGGAAATCGACTCACCGGGTCCATCAAGAATGGGGAGGGGTCTCAGCAGGCCATAAGACTTATGCCTGTGGACCTTGGTTCTTTGACATACCTGACATTCAATAATAAATTTCTGAGCAGATTCTTTCATTCCTGACCAATCAAACTGCTGCAGAAGACTTCCATAAGTCTTCTCAAAGCCGAAATGTCCACTCCGACCATGTGCCAAATCCAAGAAATGAGTTCGGAGAGGCGTATGGTTGGGTACACACAAATGGTCAAATTTTCCATACCGGCGGAACACAAGACCCTCGCATTCATGAAAATCAGGCTGATTGTTAGGGTCAGCCTTGAGCTGCTCAAGGATGGGACTAAGGTCCGGATCCTTGGTAGTGTGTTCGACCAGATCCTCCTTCAGTTTTCTTCGGAGGTCATATGAACCCATGAGGCAAGTCAAGAATTCAGGATGGCGAGACAGCGCATCAGCAACCCGGTTATAGCAGCCTTTCTTATGTTTCAATTCAAAGCTGTAGACATCAATGTCATGCAACCATCGGGTCAATGTAGGAGAGAGTTCAGATTGTGTCTGAATCCACTGCAAGGTCTGATGATCTGAGCAGACCTTGAAGTGACGACCCAAGAGGTAGTGCTTCCAATGTGCGAGAGCCTCGCGCAGGGCGTAGAGCTCACACATATACGTGGAAGTAACTACCTTGTGGCTGGGCATGCGTTTGCTGTAGTACTCGAACGGACGCAGGCCATCACCATCATCTTGTTGCAGCACTGCACCAATCCCGAATTGGCTCGCATCCGTAGTGACTACGAAAGTGAGGTTGGGATCTGCAATGCGAAGCACAGGATGACTCACCAATGCCTCTTTCAAGGCTTGGAACGCAGTCTCACACTTCTCACACCATGCATAGGCAATATTCTTGCTGGTTAGTCTTGAGAGAGGGTGAGCAATGACAGAGAATTTGGGCACAAACTTCCGATAATACGAGGCTAGACCAAGAAAAGAACGCAGTTCGCGTACGTTTATCGGTTGAGGTCAGTTTCGGATTACCTCAACCTTGGTTGCCTCCGGATCAAGGCCGTTTGCAGACAACCGATGTCCAGATAGATGACGCTATCCCTCCCAAAATCAGATTTCTCTAAGTTGAGGTGCAGCTGCGCCTCCTTGAGGACCTGCAAAACTTCCTCAAGGTGTTTGAGGTGCTCTTCCATGGTTTTGTTGAAGATCAGGATATCGTCAAGGTACACAACCACAAATCTGTTGAGTTGATGGCGAAGTACCTTGTCCATGAGGCACTGAAAGGTGGCCGGTGCATTCGTAAGACCGAAGGGCATAACGATGAACTTGTACAGCTCATCGCGTGTTTTGAATGTAGTCTTGTGTTGGTCACTCGGATCGACTTCGATCCGGTGGTAACCAGATTTGAGGTCGATCTTGGAGAAGAACTTGCACCCACCTGCCACATCTAGCAGATCGTCTATGCAAGGCAAAGGGTAACCATTTTTTTCTTGTGATCCGATTAAGGTCACGATAGTCAATACACATCCGCAGTTTGCCTCCTTTTTTTGGCACAAACAAGACAGGTGCACCGAACTCAGACTCACTGCGCCTAATCCATCCACGGTCAATCATATCATCAATCTTCCTTCTCAACTCCTCCAACTCGCCTTGTCCCATACGGTAGGCGCAGCCCCTTGGAGGAACACTCCCCTCTATTATCTCGATTTTGTGTTTGACCGGACGCTTGGGAACTCCACGAGGTTCGGCCAAAACTTCAGGGAATCGATCTAATAGCTGACGAATGTTCGTTGGGACTTCCGGTGGAGGATCATCCTCATCAGGAGAAAAAAAATTAGACTGAGAATTTACAGCAATGACAACCGTATTAGAAGTAGAAGGATTATTCACAGTAGAAGTAGATGGATTAGAAGCAGAGGTGGTAGAAATAGAGTTACTTACCGAGGTAGAAAACGCAATAAAAGTAGAAGGCACATGGATAGGCTTTATAAAGGCTATATGTAAATGCTCAATCTCCTTGCGCCTGCGCACTGTGTATCTTTTTAACGCAGAACGGGGGAATTAA